TTGTACACTGTTCCGTTGATCTTGACTTTGAGCTTCTTTGAAATGGAATCCATGACTGGTGTGCATATAAGGAATCTTGCAATGTCAAAACGTTTCTTCTTGCTTGTGCTTTCATCCAAAGTAATGAATTTTCCCCAGATACAACTAAGAGTGGAGAAAAATGTAGGCCCCCAAGAATGTAGTGGAACACCTGTGCATCTAATCCATACGAAACGTTCATTTGCCACCATGCAAGGACTCCAAGGTTTGATCTCCTTGAACCATTGGCCTAACCAATATGAAGCATTCTCCACTAAGTCCTTCAATTCATCTTTATCTTCACTCTCCAGGAGAACTAGCTTACCTCCCATTGCCTTCAGCTTACATGCAAAATACCCCTCCATGTAAAATCTCTCCTGTATGCATGGAACAATTTCTACAGAGTGTGCTTGGCCCACGTAACACCCTTGTAACCAGCTATAGTCCTCCTCTTTCACATTGAACTCAAAACCTGTCCATTCCTGGTCGTTATTTTTCTTCTGCCATTCTCTTCTATTAGGCTTTTCTGAGTGCTTCGTCCTTGGGTTTCCTCTATGCTCTGCCATGGGTCTGGTGTTTCTGCTACCTCTTAGGACATCTGCATAAGACCGGTGTGGTTCAACCTTTCTACTGCCCCATCTTCTTTCCGACCCTCCTTGGATTTGATTGTTTACCGGGCGACTATCAGGATGGTTTTGCATCCCGATTTTTGGTTTGCTTTCCTTCTTGCCATTCCGGTCTTCCTCTTTGAATCTGGGGATGTTTTCCCTGAGTTTTGTGTGACCAATCCAGATCTGATCTAATTGGCGTTCCAACTCTTTCTTATCCTTCACCTCCAGAAACCGAATAAAACCAAATCTTCTCCCAAATCTGTCCCTCTTTTCTGGGCTGTAAATAGAGTAGATTCTCCCATATTTTGAGAAGAGTCTCCACAAATCTTCATAGTTCCACTCCTCAGGAAAGTTTGTGAAGAAAAAAGCTGTAGCTTGGTTATAAATCTTCCAATCGTATCCTCCAAAACTTTGTCTGCATCCCTCTTGTCTAATATTACCATCTCCTCTGCGCCTTTGCACCTGATCAGTTTGCCTACCAAACACTGATCTCTGAGAAGTTAGCCTTACCAGTGATTCTCCGTGTCCCCTGCTTGCTCTCGTTCTCTCTCTTCCTCTCTCTCTCATCTTCACCTCAGCTAGCTTTTTTTTTATGGTCAGTCTCTTTTTAATTTATAAAGCAGCTCCTTTGCGTTAAATTGAGGTGAATTGCAATTTCAAACTTTAAGTTGGCTGATAACTGTGTTTGGAAGTTGGCTCTTAACCTTTGTACTGACAAAGGAAGTTATGGGAATGGGTACATATATATTCTCATTTTTAGTCATCACATTGTTCTCAAACAGGTTAAGATTCTTGACATTTTACCAAGTTTTCTGTTTTATCTTCTAATTAAGGAGTTCGTAAAAGATCATTTTTGTTCTTCTTCTGCAGCTGCAGAGTGGTTTTTGAGCTCAAGTGAAAGTTGGGGTTACTTAAACTTCATGCTGCTGAGATATCTTATGGACCCATCAAAAGGCTTCCTCGCGAATGACACTTTAATACTTGAAGTCAAGGTAGATGTTACTGCCAGTTTCTTGAAATTCACTTGAACTTTTGTGTTACCATGTTTGTTGGAGTTCTGTTATTACCTTTTCTAGACCATATTATGTTTGATGTTAGCTTCAAAAATATTGTTAATTAACTTTTTTTAAGGTAAAACGTAAATTTATTACCTAAGACACAATGATACAAAGCAACACACAGAAGGTTGCTACTGTTTCGGTGTACAATGAATGAATCAATCAGAAAAATAAAGAACAATGTAGCTAACTATCAAGTCTGTCTGTACGTATGATTTTCAGTCCCCAATTAGCTACCATATTGTGTGTCATAGGAGGAGGCATTCTAAGCTTTGCAAAACCCAGCACCCAATCTCTGACATCTGCACAAATCATCTCCAATATTGACAATTCAATGCTAAAAACTTTATCATGAAGCCTATTGGTTTTTTCTTTCCAGATGTGGTAAATAGTAGCGCACCATGCCAACTTGATGATGGTATTCAGCAATGCCTGTCATTTGAGCTTTTACAAAGCCAAGAGAGGAGAGTCTGCCATGATCTAACAATAGGAATGCCAACCATGGTTGAAATTTTCTTCCAAATTTAGCTTGAATTTGGAAAAGAAAAGAACAAGTGATCCCTTGTTTTAGCGGCTGACTTGCAGAGAAAACAAGTATCATCTATAGTAGCAGTCCACTTTTTTAGCCTAGCCTTTGTAGAAAGCCTATTAAGAATAGCTAGTGATGGAGGATAACAAGGGCAGGGGCCCTTGTCCTTTTGGGAAAAAATTAATATTTTTTTAAAGTATTTTAATATAAAATTAATAAAAAAACTAATATACATAAATAAATTTAGTAAATAAGTAAATATTTAGCTTGAAAATTTTAGTACATAATTCAAGAGTGTAAGTTTAATTCAAAGGTTTATTTGAAATAAAAGGAAATAGCCTTATGAAATGCTTTGTTTTTCTGTTGCAATTATAATTAAAAAAAATCCTATAAAACATCTATTTTTCAAAAGAATATCATAAAAGCAGTTTTAAAATGCCTAACTAGCCCTAAAATTTCTAGATCTAAGCTCTGCTTGTCCCCTCAAAGGCCTCAATTATTCTTCTCTTCATAATAGATGGTCATATTTTGTTGCTAGTTAAAATTTCCTCTAAGTCTCTTTTTATCTTTCTCTAATTTTTTATTGTACACTGTTAATTTTTTGAAGCGATTAAACAATTTTAATTTTTGATTATTTTTTTTAATTTCTTACTTTTTGAAGATATCCATCATATATAATTTATAAGTTGGCTATTACGCTCACATTATAAATGAAATAATTTAGTTTTATGGTATCATCTTTTATGTTAATAAACAATTTTATTTCATTGTTATTAAATTATAATATAAAATTTTGTAACAATTTTATTTCATGATACTATAAACTTAAATTATTTTATTGGTAGTTAAAATTTCCTCTATTAACTCCTATAATTTGAGAAAATGAAATAATTTAATTTGAGTTAGGATCCACTTATACACAAGTTTATACATCACATTTATACAACACATTTATATAAAATCTTAACCATTTATCTCTCCACTTTTAATGATTAAGATTTATTCATGTTTTATTATATTTATTAAAAATAATTATCTTTTTCATCTAACAAGTCGTGATAGAGTGATAAATGATTAAGATTTTGTGTAAGTGTGATATATAAGATTTGTGTGTAAGTGAATTTCTACTCATTTAATTTTATAGTATCATATTACACGTTGAATTATCTCTTAAATTACATATGTTATGATTAGATTATTATATTTACATGTGATAAAAAAAAAAAAAAAATTCTGGTGCCCTCTTAAATTTTGGTCAAGCTTCATCCCTAAGCACAGCCATCCAAGGGATAAAGATGTGCGTCGGGATTGAGTTAGAAGACCAAATAATCATGTGCCAAGGCACCCTTTGGCTGCTTCAACCTAATATAGTGCTATGTATGGCCAGTGTGGAATACACCAGTGGGAGAGGGAATCTAGTGAACTGTATCTACCTGGCCTTGATTCGGATATAGGATGCCACATAATCTTATTTGTATTTGAAGTAACTCACGAGACTTGGCCGGAGGCCAATTCCAAAAAATTCCTTGCATAACACATGATAGTATGGCTTGAAGGGGAATGGATGCATCCTGCACTATTCTCTCAACATATGTGTCAATCAAAGGCCCTTTGGGATGACAAGAATCGAGCCACAAAAAGATATTTTCACTGGTACCCTCCTGATGTTGGATGAGTTGCCTTGCTTGGGTTCTGGGCTTTGAGATCTTCTCCAGTGTGCATCACTGGGGATTTTTATATACCAAAAACTTCTGCCTTGTAACAAGTAAGCATGTACCAAAGCTACCCAAATTGAACCAGCTCTTGAAAATAAGATCCAAATAAGTCTCAACGTACAAGCAATGTTCCATTGTAACATAGGTTTAATTCCCAAACCTAGCCTCCCTCTTGTTTGGCTAAGTAAACATCCTGCCATTTAACCTTTGCTCCTCTTGCATCAGCCACTGTTCCTTTCCACAAAATCGCACTGCAAATACTCTCAACAACCTTAGTTACCCTTTTAGGTAAAATAAACACTGAGCACCAGAATGTGATTATCCCCTGAAAAACTGATGTTATAGCTGGAGCCTATAGGCAAAAGAAAGGTGTTTTGAGGACCAAGAATGAATTCTGTCAGGAATCCTTGATATTAGAGGTTTTAAAGCAGCATCATTCAGCCTACTAATAATCAACGGGGCTCCTAGGTATCTTACTGGCGGGGAACCTATCTTAAAACCATAGGAACTAGATAACCTCTACATTGTGTCAGGTGGCATTCCACAGCAAAAAATCTCTGATTTCTGGTCATTAACTCTTAATCCAGATAGTGTGTAGAAATGTTGTAGAATACTGTCTATCCTTGCTATGGCTGACTGAGACCCATCAGTGAAATTAACTTTCTTAATTTTGGTGTTCAAGATCCTGATTGGTCTAATGTTTTGCCTTTTCTTTGGTACTTGTTTAATGTCTTAGTGGTTAGCTGGAAACTATGATTTGAATGCCATGTTCATTAAAGGATTTGAAGGATTACCTTCTATATTCATGCAAATAATCAATTTGAAGCTCTCATCAAATTTAGAGCTATTTGATCATGTAATTCATTGATCTTTTGGTCAATTACATTTTTTTTTAATGAAATTCCACTTTATAATGTACTTCCTTGCATGGCACAAAATCATGATTTTGATCGAGTCTAGTAAATGGTCCTCTCACATACGGTTTCAAAGGAATATCAAAATCTGTGCTCAATTGAACCATGGACCTCTTGCATCAATCCCTTGCTCAAGCAATACTAAGGAACGTACAACAAGGGCTAGCAATTTTTATTCTTATTTATTTATTGATTTATTTTTTAAGTTTCCAAACGTAACTTTCTCCTCTTTCATGCAGAAGGAATTTGTGCTTGCGGTTGCTTTACCCATGGCGCCCAAGCTTCTGCCGCTATCTCCTCCAGGAATAGATGCGGCCGGTAAATTTGAAGGAACCTTCAAATATTGATTCCATTTTTACCTGTTATAAAAGGGCAAGACTGGTGCTTCTTTTTGATAAGCTGTTTGGGGTTGAATCAACAAGCTCTTCGCATTCCGGTAAGCTCTGCTTTGAGTTTTTGGATGATTTCTTTGTTTCAATGGATGATTTTATTTACAAAATTACGGAAGGTCCATTGAGTAGCGGTTTACTTTCCTCTTAAATTGGTGATCTTTTTCTTCTTCTTCTTCTTCTTCTTCTGCTACTTCTCCTTCTCCTTCTCCTTCTCCTTCTTCTTCTTCTTTCTTTGCGTCAGATTTTGGATGTTGTTTTGTAATGCATGCTTAGAGTTGCACGGGTTTAAGGTAGGTGTCTGATCTGATTTCTTTTTCCTTTTCTGGGTATAGTAATATAAGTGATGCATCTCTAACTTTCTCCTAGGGTAACAATTTGACTTTTGAATGTCCATCTCATGGTTTCCCCATTGCACAAACATACATCTCTCCCCTAAGTTTCTTGAAAGCAATTATTGTAGAAGGGTCAAGTACATTTTTATTTCTCTACTTCAAAAAAAATTGGCAGTTATGTCTTATTAAAAGTGTGCCCTCCCTGGCACCATTAACAATTTTAGTAGAGAGACAAATCGCCTAATTTTTTGAAAATAGAGGGATGAAATGCACCATATTTTGAAAGTAAGGAGATAAAAAATGTCCTTAACCATTTAGTTTTTAAAAGCAAGTTAAGCATATCATTGACTGTGTTAGAAAAGGGACAAAATTAAAGTAACAAAAATAATCTATTTTCTGTAGAGGGACAAAATTGCTCTTTTCTTCTTCACTTTTAAAAGTAGAGGAACTAAATTTGTACCTAACCCATTGCAGAAATCTTCTTGTGGTTGTAGACACACACTGTTACTAATGGAAGTTGAGAATGGAGGTACACTCTTCACACATTTGAATTTTCTCTCATTTATGAATTATTTTTTCAGTTTGAACTTAATTTGAGATATTAAAACTTTTTACTGAAATATTTTTACATGTCCGTGATAGACAAAGCACCAATGAACTACTTGTTAGAGGTAAAATTGTTCTCCCAACTGTCTGATCTACTTTCAAAAACTACAGAGAAAAGATGTGAATCTACAACTTTTGAAGCAGGGGGTTATAAATGGTCAGTTTGTTTGATTTAACTGGAATATTATTTTTCATTGCAAAGTAGCACTTAGCCTTATTTATTCTTATTTGTCGATGTGTGTAATGGTGTTTATTTAATTTTTAAAAAGGAAGCTTGTTCTTTACCCAGTCGGTGACAAAGAAAGAAATGGGGATGGACATATATCTCTCTACCTAAAGATTGTTGAAACTAAAACTTTGCTTCGTGGATGGGCTGTACATGCTAATTTCCAACTTTTTGTGTATAATCATATTCAAGACAGGTTTTGTTCCTTTGAAGGTATGGATTTTTCTGTGTCTTGATAATCAAATATAAGTTGATTCTATCATATAATATAAACTTTATATATATGTTAGTTACTTTTTGATTACTGTTTCTAACAATTGTGTTTTATGACGTAAGGTTCCAATGCAAAAATTAGATGTTTTCATGCAATGAAAACTGAATTTGGATCTCCAAGATTACTATCTCTTGAAGATTTTAAGGAGCCTTGTAATGGATATCTTGTTGGAGACACATGTTTTTTTGGAGTACAGGTGTTAGTTCAATACTATGTTGAAAATCTAGAATGTTTGTCAACGTCTAAGGTTGAAGGAAAAGCCTTCTGCTGGAAAATTCAAAACTTCTCTAAGCAAAATGAGGAAATGATTGAATCTGAGAGTTTTATTTCCGAAGGACTTGAATGGTACGGACATAATTAGTAAAATGTTACCTTCGACATGGTGTTGTTTTAGTGTCAACAATATCGCTGAACTAAACCTTGATCTTTTTTTTTTTTTTTTTTTTAAGGGTTGTGTACCTATATCCAAGAGGAAATCCAAAGACAGATTCTAGAGGACATTTATCAATGTATTTGAAGTTAAAGGATGGCACTGCTGAGAGTGAACTAGCCTGTGCTCGGTGTTCGCTGGTAATAAAGGACCAGTACTATGACAACCATCTGTCCTTTACAGGTGAGGCGGCATGGTGACTTGACCTCCATCTCAATTTAATGTTTGAAGTTTTGTTGGGAAGATAATAATTGTTTTTTAATTTGGTAATTTGGGAAGATAATAATTTCTTATATATATATTTATCACTTACAGGTATTGCAAGTGGCTCTAGCTTCAAATATGGATGGGGTTCCTCTAAGATCATATCCCTAAGTGAGCTTCGGAACTATTCTAATTATTTTCTTATAGATGATACGCTAGTAATTGAAGCTAAGGTGGAAGCTATTTCCAAATTCCAGAAAAGTGTGGACTATGGTGCGAGTATTTAAGGCAGCTATATAACATTGATGACAACAGTCTGTACTGTTAGATAAAAGTTCACTTATAAGCGCTGATGTTAGGTACTTCATGAATATGATGAATGTATTGAAAGTTTATTCGTGTCAACTTGCTTGACTGCGGACCATATATAAATAGCTCACTGCATTTTTTCGTAATATTTCTAGGTTGTGATTTCCGCTAATTTTCCGAGCATGCAACATGAATCACTAGGAACCCATTTAATAATAAGGAACTCTGTTTATCATTTAGATTGAATTGTAGAATAAGAATCATTGAATGAAAAAAAGAGAAAAAAGCCCTCAATAAATTTTTCAATATTGAATCCTCCCTCCTCCCATGTTTAATGTAATAGAGTTCGGTATGGTCTAAACTACACTCTACATTTTCGTTAATAATATCGTTAATCTATTTTTGTTTTCCTTTTAAAAAATTTAATAATATTAAATTAAAATTTAAAAATTAATAATAACTTAAAAAAATTATTTTGGTTATCAATTTTAAAAATTTTGTATTTAACAAGCTTCTAGTTATTTTT